GATCCTTCACCCCCTCCTCACTGATGAAAAAGTCAGATGAATGTGACATGAGCGTTCACACTGCAGTCACTTTGAAAACATCAGATATATATCCGATTTAAAATCACATACTGAAATGGCCTGGGTCGGATTTGAAAAAATCGGATTTGTCTCGTTCAGACTGTCATGAAAAAATCGGATATGAGTCAGATGGGKCAAAAAAATCGGATTTGGGTCGGATTTGCCTGCAGTGTGAACGTAGCCTTAGATACATGGGTTTAAGACTTGTTAAAGGACCTGCAGACACCCTGCCTGTCTCTGCCGGAATTCATTACAAGGTTCTGATGATACACCAGGGCATACATGGCAATGTCCCCTCTACCTGATTTTAGTGAGTTTGAATGATTTTTAGATATTTATTTCTGCTGCTTTTACTTTTGTGACATAACACTTTGAGATTTACGTATTTAAAGTGCCCTACAAATTAAAACTATTAAAACTATTATTATTATTATTATTATTATTATTATTATCATCATCATCATCATCATCATTTCAAATGTTCCCTTCTCAGAAGATGTTTACAGTTTCATGCTTACCCTTTATAGTACTGCTGTTTCGGCAGTAGCCCTGTCTTAATGAGCTGATGCAGCAGCTGGCCCATGTGCTCCCTGGCGATGGTGCTGCGTTCCAGCGTCGACTCCAGCCCATTTCGTACGAACACAAACAGCAGTTCGGTGCTGTTCAGCTCCCGCACACACTGCAGAGCCTCCTGTTGGGACAGAGGGACACATGGAGTGACTCGTGAGACATCTCAAGAGAAGGAAGGGAAAACTTTGTGCTGTTTAGTAAACAGTTTTAGAGCATACCCTCATGTCATTAATATGGAGGTACTCTTCAATGATAGCTGTGGATTTCTTGTCCACCTCTTCTTCTGTCAAGGCAGGTTTACTGGGGGTCTGGTCGGGTGGGGGTGCAGCGGTTGTCTCCTGGTTCACTGTACACAAAGATAAAATAAACAACTAAATTAAAATATATGTGCCTCAATAAAAGCAAAACTGTTTTATTGTAGTGACAAGTTCACCTAAATCAGTGGTTCCCAAGCTGATTGTTTTACAGTGACATCATTCAAAGTGGCCATCTATTAGGTCTGGGCAATAAACCAAATAATAACCAACACTGAGATTTACGACAATAACTGACATCATTTTGCCCGTGTCTGGTATTTAAATTCTGGTATTTAAAAAAATGAGGAAAAGAGAAACCTGCTTGTTTTCTGCTGTGGTCTTGTTAAAGCTGCCCAGTCTGATACAGGTTTAAACAGACGCTGCGTTCAACAAATCAAACGAACCCCACAGCTTAGTTTATCCAATCAGAGCAAAGCAGGGTGGGTCTTTCTGATGTCGCAGCAGCAGTCTGCTGGATAAACACCGGTCAGTCTGCAGCTCCTGTCCTGAGTGAGCCAACTGTCCTCCACACATCTCTCCCGAGCTACCTGAGACCTTGGTACGTATATATAATCTAACAGACTATAAGTTTATGTGTTCAGAGCGTCGTTATCTAACAGATATGTCCAACTTTACTCGTGTGACCAAACTCCTCTCCTCGACAGTGCTGGTACGGGAGCCGAGGTCCACACAGGCTGAGTTGTTCTGTGAGAGACACTGTTTCAGTTCTTCTTATGAAACATTTTTAACTCTAACAGATGAACATTTGTTTGTCCTATATTATAGAAAAGACGAGTCTCCGCTTATCGTTACCCCCCGCCCCCCCAAAAAGAAAAAACAAAAACCACTATGTTCCAGCTGTGTAGTTTATCATAAATATCTACAAATTTCATTCTTCACAATATGGTAAATGGTAAATGGTACTGAACTATCTTTTAACATATTTACCAATGTTACAATGCTTTTTTTCAAAGTTTTTTTTTAAATTATTTTTAACAAAATACAAACAAAAAACAAACTAACAAAAAAAAATACACACCCCTAAAAACCCTCCCATCCCTCCCCACCTATAC